TACAGGCCTTCACCACCATTCCTGTGCTGTCTTCCCCTTTCTTATGTTCATTACTTTAGTTCTCTTCCAACTTCTCTTCCCAAGATTACATGTACATATGTAATATATTATCTATCTCTGTGTTCTAAACACTCAGATATGACTGAAAAAAAAAAAAACTGACCCCCAATATGCTCCAGGGAATTGCATACCCAAACTTTTGGTTCTTCCTCATCCTTAGAGAAGAACAAAGCTTTGTATTCTCAAAGCATTATCTATGCCCTAAGTAGAAAGTAACATATTCAGGCTTTTCCCAGATGTAAATGAACTAAACACACTGACACACAGAAACCACTTAACAAGGGTTCCCTTCTCTACCTCCTTCCCACAGAAAGAAGGGGGAAGGATTGCTAGAACAGCCAGAGGCCACTGGTGTACAGGATGCTCCTCCTACTCTCTGACTTTTTTTCTTGTAGTTATTTTGAGGCCCTGTGCCGTGGAAAGAGTCCTCCGGTGAGAGAGCAGTCTGGGCAAGTCGGTTTGTGTAACTGGGCAGAATTAACACCTGAGCTGTTAAAGACCCTGCATTCTCGGGTAAGGGCCCTGCTGCAGCATTGAGGGAATGTAGGGACAGTGTTGAGGCTGGGTAGGTACAGATGAAAGCCCACTGTTCTTCTGCCAGTCAGCTGACCACTTAGAACCACCATAAAATGCACTAAACCATGGACTGAAAGTAAATCTTTTCTTAGAGAAATGGGAATAATTTTGAAATAGGCTGTAGGCTGAGTCGTTGGTGGGGTCATCCCAGATTTCCTTGAAGCTGGCAGAATGTACAGGGGTTCAATGCAAAGCTAATCCCATCTCTCCATAAAAGTGCAGGTCGTCAGTCACTCGGCAGTGTCTCCCTTCCTGATCAAGACCAAAATATGATGCCAGTCACAGTTTGGGGAAGGGTATATTTTAGCTCCCCAGCTATCCCAGGTCCAGACATAGCTTTTAGCTTTTAGGGAGAGGCTGTGAGCCTCTTCACAGCCACATCATCCTGGGAGCTGCTTGGTGAATGGATGCACGAGGAGGGTCCGGCTTGAGAAACTTTGTGGTTTGGCCAATTACCAGGAAATATGGTTGAGCATCACCATACCCTGCTTTATGATCCAGGACAGAGAGGTTTGCGGTGATTTAGGACTGGCCTGGCTAGCTGCCTTGGTCCCAGAGGCTTAGCATTTCACTAGAATCAGAGGGTCAGGAAAGGTGTTGGAGCACATCATCGGGCATCTGTGCCCTTGTTGTATTGTTGGCCAACAACCACTCACCCTCCTGCACTTTATCCACCAAGTATCTTGCGCAGTGAACATGACAGAGCTCTAAAGTACCTGGGATCAAGCAACAAAAGGCATCCAGACCAGATCCCCATGGATCAGCCACATACCCCATATCATTCCTGGGAAAGCACGAGGGATGCACTTGAGTTCTAGAGCTAAGAACTCAGCGCAGTAGGGAAGAAAGAGACCTATGTCTTGTCCTGGTTTTACCATTAATTAGTGGTCTCAGGTAAGCACTCTAACCCTTGGTTTTGTTTTCAGGCTGTTATATCTGTCATATAAGGAATAAAACAATTTAGGAATACAATAACAGATAAAAGCATTACAAGAAATTAAGATATAAATATTTATCTTTTGCATAATTCTGACACCTAAAGTTTAAAAATTAATAAATTATATTTCAGCACTGGGATTTGCAAAGATAACTGCCACACAGAGCCATCTTGTACCTTCCTAACACCCCCGTCACCCCCCTTGCCATGTGTTGGGAGATGTGGATCTGGCCTGGGGGCAGGGTGTTCCCCAGGGTCTTGCCTCAACTTCTCCCACATCCTGTGTGTTTTGTCTGTCCCCTGCCCTGCAGGTTGCCGGCAGACTGATCATCCATGTAGATGAGCTGGCCCAGATGTGGAAGGCGCTGAATCTTCCAACAGATCTGTTTAATAGTGTGATGAACGTGGGTCACTTCATGGAGGAGATCGAGTGGCTGAAGTTTTTAGTCCTCGCTTGCAGCGCTCTGGGAGTTGTAAGTTAGCTTGACTGTTTTTTGTTCCTGAAGGGGAAATCTCCCTCTGGGCCTGGAAGGGCAGTGCATCTGTACACAGGGTCTACTCTCCAGAGCTGATGATAAACACGCCTCTTCTCATCTTGTCCTTCTCTCTAAATCAAGCATTTCAGTGCTTGCCAGGCAGAAGCAGGGGTTAGGAGGAGGAGGAGAGAGAGGGAAACACTATCATCAGACTCTGGGAAGAGCTGACTATAGTATAGTTCTGGGTTATTTATGAATATTGCCCTCAGATTTATTTCCACTCCACTCCCTCCATTTATATTGCTAGAGACAACCAAGAGCCAGCTGTAGAAAAAGACTTCCAGACACCTAGAATATCTGTCAGTAGACACTTTTTAAAAGGGGTACAATCGTATAGAAAGCTACTGTGTAATAGACAGAATTGGCTGCAAAACTCAGACATAAGGAAGCAAAAAAAAAAAAAAAAGGAAAGATGAGGCTATTTCTGAATTTAGTCATGACGTCTCCATGGATGGAGAAATTTGACTTGTTTGGTATTGGAAAAGCCACTTTACTGTTTTGAAACAAAAGATGCTGAAATCAGTTTATATGTATAGATATTTAAAGCTTGGGTATCTTATATGTGGACTTACATTGTTAAACCTTGTTAAAATAACTCAAAATGATTCAAAAACATGATTTTTAAATAGAATGCCTGAGATACATACAAGTTTGAAATTTTTTGAGTAACTGCCTCCACCAAAACCAAATGGTATGAAACGGTAGTTCGAATCATTCAGCATTTCTAAACATAATCTTTTTCTTCTCACATATGCTTGGAATGCATATTTGACAGTTTTGTTTCTGAGAAAATTTAGCGGAAATATTGTAGCCCAACTTTTCCTATAGATTCCCCTACAGCCTTCATAATAATCATTTCTTTAGAGAGAAGTAACAAAAGGACATTTGTGGCTCTTTTTTTCTTCATTGTCCTTTATAGCATTTATACTGAATAAATCACTATCCTCCAAGGAGGAAAGGAAAGTAAGCAGCAGAGGCCTATGACTTTTCAATCAGGACTGGGGAAAATCACAAACGGGAAGATAAAAAAGTGGACGTATTTTATTGAATTCACATAGGGTTACAGATTTTTTCACACCACATTTGGAGACATTTAAGACCCCAGGAACAGTCCAATGTGATGCAAATGAGTATAATGATTACTGGTTTCATAGGGCATCCTTTATTTACAGACTTAACTTCCAGGCTGACTTTACTTGTAGGGGTCCTTTTTTTTTTTTGAGACGGAGTTTCACTCTTGTTACCCAGGCTGGAGTGCAATGGCGCAATCTCGGCTCACCGCAACTTCCGCCTCCTGGGTTCAGGCAATTCTCCTGCCTCAACCTCCTGAGTAGCTGGGATTACAGGCATGTGCCACCATGTCCAGCTAATGTTTTGTATTTTTAGTAGAGGACAGGAAGGTGGCCTGCTGCAAACTCCCAAGTATTTTGACATCGTGTGGTTTATTGAATAATCTATTTATAAAATAACAATGCTTATTAAGTGTAAATCTATAAAATTTAAATATTAACTCATTTAAAATTAATAATTATTACAAATTATTACACACCACAGTTAGAGAAGCACCATCACGGCAATCATCCTATTCTGGGAGAGGATGAGAGGAGAACAGCAAACATCAACTGCTAAGGCAGGACAAGTCTCTAGCAATCATGTGGGAAGATACAGCAGCTGCTTTTTCATTCACCCAGTCACACCTGAGTCACCACTCAGGGCTGCTCTTTCACTGATCCCTGGAAGAGTGTGTCAGGATGATCTGTACATCTTCAGTTTCAGTAAACCACCAAGATCTATATGCTGACCTTCATTTCACAACTCTTTCACTTGTAAAATTTATTCCAAGTGTGGGTTTATTTAAAGATATGAGATTAGTTCTGAGCATGATCCTTTAATGTTCAAGATTTATTGTAAGGAGGGGTTGCTTCTGTAGTAACCCTTCTATTAAAGTTCCTGGCACTCATTGTCTACCAATATTTCCCCAGCAATAAAAGGGTTAGTATTATGTAATATAAAATAAAGCACTAGGTGATTCTATTTAGATAGACCCGTATGTTTTAGAAGAACATTTATCCTGATGTTCAAGATCATTTTTCTAGTATCTTCCTGGGACTCTATCTTCCTGGGGAAATTACCCTACTCTTTCTTACCTTCTTCTCCTCTACTGTGGCAGTGCCACAAGTATCTTTTTGGAGTATATAGGCTAGTCTATCTCAGCCCTTTAGAAATAAGACTGAAGGGAATAAGAAATAATTCTAATTATATAGAATGCAAATCAACTTCCCTCCTTTAGTGAGGTTATTCAGACTAAAGTAACAGATGCCTTAAAGTATTTAGGAATTTATAAATTTAATTCCTTGAGTAGTCTTCCAACAAAGAAAGGAGAGAAAAAAATAAAGATACACAATATTTTTTAGAATGAATTAGTGACATTTGATTATAAAAATTTCAAGCTTTCTAGAATCTTAAATCATTCTCACCTCATTTTATAAGAGCAATATTTTTGTTTTCTTTCTTGTATCTAAGCAGATCTCAGGAATATTGCCTGGAAGAATAACTTTCTCCTCATTTTATCTAACTTTTATAGACCATCACCAAAACTCTCAAGATAGTGTGTGAGGTCTTATCATGTAACCATGGGCCGCCCCAGATACCTTTCAGCACATTCCAGTTTCTCTACACGTATATTGCCGAAGTGGATGGGGAGATCTCTGCATCACATGTTAGCAGGATGCTAAGCTACATTGAACAGGAAATGTAAGTGAACTTTTACTAAGTGGAGGCAAAAGGATACCAGGAAAACAAATCTAGTGGGCCAAGATAGAGTGAGATTATTATAGTATACTGCTCTGGGAACAGAAAAGTATTGTGAGGAACATGAAATATGGATCTGAAAGAAAAAGGGAAAAGGAAGGAGAAGAGGAAGGAAAAGAATTCTATAGGACAATAATTCTTTGAGTGCCACTGAGACTAGCAGTAGTGACAGCAGCAGCACCCGAGAATATGTTAGAAAGGCAGAATCACAGGCTACACCCTGGATATATGGAATCATAAACTCTAGGGGTGGGGTCTAGGAATCTGTGTCTTTATAAGCACCCCTAGTAACTCTGACTCACTCTTAGCTATGACCCAGTGGAACAAAAGTGGAGGAAGAGGAACAGGAGGAGGAGCAGGCAGTCAGGCAAGAGAAAGAGAGGCCGGGCATGGTGGCTCACACGTGTAATTCTAGGATGGGTGGATGTTTTGAGCTCAGGAGTTCAAGACCAGCCTGGGCAATATGGTGAAACCCCATCTTTACTAAAAATACAAAAATTAGCTGGGTGTGCTAGTGTGTGCCTGTACCATTTAATCAGGAGGATGGCCTGAGCCCAGGAGGTGGAGGTTGCAGTGAGCCAAGATTGCACTATTTACTACAGCCTGGATGACAGAGCCAGAGCCTGACTCAGAAAAAAACAAAGTTAAGAGAAAAAGGATCAACAGCAGAATTTGAAATGAGAGAGTTGTTTGTATACTGTTTTTCGTAAGATTAACTGTCAATGAACTAACTGCAGATAAACCTTTTTTCAAACAGAATTGGTCCTAATGGTATCATCACAGTGAATGACTTTACCCAAAACCCTAGGGTTCGGCTGGAGTAAGAGCACAGTTTTGACAACTTTAAAGGAAGATACAGAGATGATTGTACTTCAGAATGACTGAAACCCATATACCCTCCAAAATCAATTTTCTTGTGCAACTGGTACACACGAATAAACAATTAAACAAACATATGAATTCAGAAATGTGTGGAATTAAGATGTGAAATTATTGGAACAAAACACCTTCATTACCAGGAGATTAGTATTCCTCCCACATGGACACTGAGTAAAAGTGGCTGACAAAGCATGGATAGAAAATGCATCTCCAATCAAAGTCAGAC